TAAATATATGGAAACATGAAAATCTAGTTTAACACCTAATCTAACAAATGGTTGAATTTTCACTCAAATGCAAAAAGCATAGAGGATACATGATTCAACTACTTATAAATCCAATTATTAATTAGGAGTATACAAAATGTTCAGTTTAGGTTAAGTAGTAAACGAAATTATATTACAGTCTAAATATTTGAACTCTAATCCAAAATAAAGTCCAAAGTTGAACTTAATGTGGTAGTCCTTGGTTTACCAGTTTTCTTATTGTTCCAAATAACGACTCAATAAATGAGTAGCTAGATGATATTCACCAAAGGCCTTTCAGTGTGAATGCATCATGTAAATTAGGCTGATCTAACAAATCTAATAATTTTATGATTGTTCCGTATCCAGTAAGCAATGTATTTAGGTAAGGATAAGAAGCATTAACATCCTCTTAAGGGATGCTTTTAAGCATTTCTAAACAACTTCTGAGAAAGGTACGTATTACTCTAAGATTTCAGGCTCCTATTATAGTTGCCTACATGCTCATGTGTGTCTCTTGTTAATGCAAGAGGATATCTCTTTATGTTACTGCCTGACTATTATCGCCCACAATCTTCACATAAGGCTTTTCAAAATTATTAATAATAATATTTCTGGTTTGATATCTTTACAAATAGTAAGCTTTAAGTTTACTTAAGATTTAAAGAGAAAAAGTCACTATGTGGACATACTTTACGATTGGGAAGGCATAGTCCTTTATAATGGAAAAACTTGGAGGATTTTAACAATCTATTTTCCCGTTAAATTAAATATATCATTCGATACCTCTTTCAGATAATCTTTAATATATTTTTTTATTAACCACATTAATATCTTAGTCTTTCCCATACTTAGACTCTACATAAATGGGGAAAAATCGAAGGAACCATTTCTAAATGAGAAGATTGACTATAATTTTGATAGTACAGACTATTTAACTACCCTAATTTAGCATTAACAAGTAGTTATTTAAGAATAATCTTATCTCACTTTGCACCTTTGATTAGAAAGAGCTAAGTTTATGAATAATTTTTTTCAACTTCCATAATTAACATATGTGTCTTTCTATTTCAAGATAAAAATTTTATAAAGGTGATATTTAGAATGAGAAAATTAGAATGGATTAATTGTTAATTCTTTATTATTATTCTGGATAAGATTCTTCTTCTGTAATAATGAGAATGAATTTTGTTGTTTATTACATCAATTAAATTGATGGAAAATTTATTTTTATACTAGTTTCAATTGTAGTACTTCTTAAATGCAAATATCAGCCCCTTAAAATATTTTTCTTGATACACAAAGATAAATTATACCCTTAAATTCTCGTAGTTCTCATCAACAAATAAATGGAATTTTTTCCAAATTTCGCCTAGATTTGTATTTTTAACAGAGGGAGAGAATTTTCAAGAGTTTACTTGAATTAATCAATGGAAGACTCAATACAAATTCTCAAAACATAGGCAAATACTCAGAAGACCTAAAAATTTACTTTAAACAAAAGATGCAAGAACCTAGGTATCAGAAGTAAATACAATAAGATTTGGAGTTTGCTTATAGAGTTCTAGAAATCGAGTAACATTGGATTGCTTATAGAAAGTCAAAAATTCCCGTAAGGAATTTTCAAAAACACTGTCATCTAAACTATCCTCCTCTCTAACGAAGTCAATCAAATTAATAACATGATTGAATTTAGGCTATATTACTGTTTGAGTAGTTAGGTATTACATAACCAAAAGGGTCATTGTATTTATCTCATATCTTTTCTATTAAACTTTAAATTTCATAAAGAGCTAATAAGAGTTTAGACCAAAATGCTGTCCTTTGAAATGAATTAAGAATATCCAAAATATGTTAAATAGTAAGCGAGGTCATCAGCTTAGAGATTATATTAAACGAATAGATGGAAAACTAGAACATCTATTATTGTTTAAATTAAATATATTCCAAAATATATAATCAAAATTTCATTAGAATAAAACTATGGTTGGCCTACATGAATAACATATAATATATTTGGTAGTTTATTTTTTAAAATATGTATCTATATATAGGTGTAATAAATGATAGGATATTCACTGTGTATATTATTTATGTGATGAATATTAATTGTAAGATTTGATAATTTAATTAACTTAAATAACGAATAGGGTTTTTGAATAAATTATTAATATAGTATTTATAATCTTAAATTTAAAATTTAAATACTAATATTTTAGACTAATTATTTGTGAGTCTTTATGAAGTTAGACTTCAGACAATAATAATTATAAAGATGGCTCCTTTTAATTTTTCCCAGTGCAATATTTAACTGTTCATAGTAACCATAATAAATTTTAAGGTTAACTTAAATACTCGAATTACTTTGTAAATGTGCTAAAATATAGCTAGGGTTTGAGTAAATATTTATATTTGTTAACTTGTGATATCCAATTGTTGAAGAAGTAAGAAAATTATCAATTTCAATAATTAACTCAAATTAGCAAAAATATGATTCCTCTTTATTATTATTATATCCAATTTCAATCTTATTTTACGCAATTATAAATAACCAAGAATTGATTGTTTTGCAATATATTTAAATTTTACAATATAGGAGAACTAGAGCATATTATTTTTCTATTAAATATTAAAAAATTATACCTAAATTTTGAATAATGTTAGAAGTCGATATGTCGATTATAAATTCAAGTTGAACTAATTAGTCGCTTCCTAAAAGTAAGTATTTTTGTACAAAATGTTTGACTCCTTTCCTTGGCCAAGTAGAGTTTCCTTTTTTCAAAGAAAAAAAAAATAGACAATCTTTTCGTTAGCCAAGCATGTTTTGGACCAGGTTACAACATTAAAGTTTATTTCTTTATTCCAAATAATACCAATTTCTCTCAATAATTTTTAGCTAATGCTCATTATTAATGAAATTAAAATGAAACAACAACAATAATTCCCTCTAATCTAAAATAAATTTTACAAAAAGGATAATTGTTAGATAACCTTGAATTAACGTTTATTCTGGACTATCAAAATACTTTGATAATTCTGAAATGTTCTATAAATTATTTTTGCACATTATTTCTCTAAATGATTTTTGGTATTATTCATCCACCAGACAATTAAAAAAAGGAGTCCTTTTAGATTTACTAAGCTTTTGGATGGCTGAAAAATAAATTTCATTCTTAAAACTCAGGATATTAATTCCCAAATCTTCAAATAGAGAATTTTGATTATTTCTTCAGAAGGATATGAAATAGATTGAAGCTAAAAAGTAATTGTAAGTATGTTTGTATTTTTAAACTAATTAAAGTTCTGAATTTTATCTGGTAATTTATTCAAAGGAATAAATACTTTACTTTTGTCAAGAAAAACCAAGTTGTTATAAGAAGCGCTATCAATCAGGCTATGATTCATGTTATTAGTTGAAATTAATCGGAGGAGAATATTGATCGACTTGAATTTATATTTGAACATAGATAACTCAAATAAACTCAAAGTAATTTACATTAAAGAATGATTTGGCTGATTAAAACGAAAATATTTTAGATAAATATGATTACAAGTATGAATGGAATAACCCAGTACCTTAAAGTACAAGGTAGAATATTTTGGATACAAATTAAAATGCGATTGAAATATTAAAAACCCTGGTAATTTAATAATGAAATATTTACAATAAAAGTAAATAATAAAGAATTTTTGTTATATCTAAATAATAATTAAAAAGCTAAATAAATTAGAATCAATAAACTCTTAATATGACAAAAAAAATGTTACATCGAATACTTTTTTGAAATGGCAAAGCACTTTAACTAACAAAGAGTTAGTTTTCAATAATTATGAATAGGTTCTAAAAAATATATATTTATGACTTGTATGTGAAGTCTAGTGTTTTTAATAATTTTTTATTCCCATTTAAGTCGAAGGATTTTTTATAGACTCTTCAAATACAAATTTAATGTTTCCTCTAATCCATGACCTAGCTCTAAGGAGTTATAAATTTAATAAAACATAAGAACTCTCAATAATTAGCAGCCTGTTTAATCTGTAATTCCATTAAGGTTAAATTCTACTACTATAAATTATAATTCAGTAAATTAATTGTCAATTTCAAATAAATCATATTTCATAAATTTCACATTCCTTAATCTATGGCTAAATTTATCCAAACAAATGAGGATTGTTTTTTCCATTTTGATATTAATGAAACTGAAATGTATAACCTATTCTAGAAGAACTGTCAGTAAAATCTCCACAGATCCAAATATCAGAACCTTCTCCAAATGTAGGCCCATAATTAGAAGAACAATAAATTGCTCTTGCAGACGACTTCTAAGGATAAACTAAATTATGAGTTTATGAAAATAAAAAGGATGCATATGTGGGATCTGCTACATCACCTTGATCAAGTAACCATTTACAAGGAGAATATGCTCCAAAGATATATTCACTTTTGGATTAAAAAATCATAAGTAGATTCTCTTTATTATTGACTGCCTTCCAAAAATATTATGCATTTAATCCATCTCTTGTACCTTTAAATATTAAAGTGGAATTTTTAACATATTTATTTCTTTTCTCTAATATCAAATAAAAAATTTTTATCCAATAATAATCTGTGAGCAATGGTGGTTATATACTTAACAAAATAATTAATAAAAGTAAAAGCACAAATTGTTTTCAAAGTTTCAGACAACTTAAAATATATGGGTATTAAAATATCTATATTTTAGAACATTAAATGAAGGTTTTATTAATATTTCGATTAAACAATTTTAGGGTGTGGAAAATTTTTAAAACCATCATAATTTAGTATTCTATAAGTTCTTTAACTTTTATTCTGATATTTTAGATTTGTAATATTCCATCAACATTTTTGAAAAAAATAATTTATTTGGTGATTGCAATGAAGAATATATGAAGAGTAAAATTTGGTATATTCATTAAAGTTAGTTAGTGATTTAAAATACTTAACATGGAGCAGAAAAGATAAAGCAATTTAGCCAATGCTGTTTGATGTTTCTTAAATAAAAAAATTTCTAAAGAATTAAGGTTATACAAATATTAATTCAGAAAGCTCAATAAAAATTGATGAATTTTTTTAATCTATTAGTATAACAATTATGATTAGAAATTGGCTTTTTAGGTCTTTCAAATTTACATGAATGTAAATCATAATGATGATAAAGCCATTATAGATACAGATTAGAACTTCTAATTGATTACTCATTTTAACTAATAATACAGAAATTTTAACACTTAATAAATGAGAAATTATTCGGATATAAAATAATACATAAATTTAGGCTTTCTTTTAATAAAAGATTTCTGTAACATTTATCTGAAATGTATTCTATTTTGAATTAATTAGGATGTAATTAAAATAGAAATTATTCTGCTTGCTAAATGTTAAATGAAATCAATAATTAACTATAAATCTTTACTTTATTTTTTGAAAATTCATAAACTTTATTTTAGTATTTCGGTTTGGCACAACATTATTGAAAATAAATAATTTTAAAATTGTATAATATTGAATTTAAGGAAAAGTTAAATGAAATATTATGGAAAAATCTTTCACACACTTCTATCGCTCTACTAATTTAGAGAGAGAGGAAAATAGTTTTAAAACTATTATGCATCAAATAAGTTTTTAGTGAAATAATCTACCAATAAATTAATGTTTGCTCTTTATAATTGAGCAGTTGCTTTAGATAATAATACAAACACAATGCTATTTTTTTGAGTGTCGGATGGCTAGTATTAGGAATGGTATTAATTAAATATTTATAAAATTATCAAGCCTTAAACAGGTAAATTAGTGGATGAATGAAATTTTCTTCAGCTAAAGTTTAATTTGATCACAAGAAACATTTGTTACTAGCATGGCATAGCAAATTTATTGTCCTAATAATTTAAAAAAGCTTTTAATTTTGTTAAGAAGATGGTACAATAGATAACTTTTCGTATATCTTCCATTTACTTAGAATATTTGTATATTAAAGATAAATATAAATAAATTAACCCCATTATCTAATTTAACTAAGGCCTTCATAAACGTAATAAGTTTATAATTAGTTCTAAACTATCTGAAATAATATTAAATTAAATAAATTTTATCAAGCTCATAATAATTTCTTTCAATTTCTTGAACAGATTCCTTTAAAATAATAGTAACTCCAGCATAAAGAAATGCAGCCATTGTTCCTACCTTTAAATATAAATATTCAAAAATTACTTTTCAATCAAGTAGTAGTACATGGCAGTACAAATTTCATAAAGGAAACCTTCGGACTCAATTAAAAAAAAATATAAAATTTGAATAAAAATTACATCAAGTAGTAATTTAATCCTAATTTCTCTAATCTTGACTCAAAATTCTTAATTAATATTTCTTTAGCATCTATCAAGTTTTTTAATTAATTCTCTTATTTGTCCATTTTGAAATATTTCTTCATATTTTGAACATCATTTTAGAAATTTTATCAACGTATTTCTCAAGTTCGTAATTAATGTTGGTAAAATTCTAATGATTTGAAAATGATGCTATTTAT